TGCTGTCTGCATGTGTTCTAGTGTTGGTGCTGTTTGCATGTGTGCTAGTATTGGTACTGTCTACATGTGTGCTAGTGTTGGTGCTGTCTATTTAATTTTGAGATGAGTATGAGATATAATTTTGTGTCCTCAAATGTTAATTCAGCTAAGTTCAAATGGAAATAAATTCCATTGACAATTGTTTAGCATATATTACAGGATTATCACAAATTTCAATTGCTATATTTCACATTGAAACATCTGTGACAAATCTGATTGCTCTTTGAACCAATATTTTTATTTAGTTGCTGTTCAGGCGCAGCCTGAAAAGGGGACTTTATAATTCTGGTTTTGTCAAATGTCCATTTTCCATTTCCCATATTCCATTTTCCGCTTTCTGTCTCCAACATTTTCTCAGAAATTCTACAGCAAATATCAGTGAAACTTGGCAGGTTGATGAACAAGTCTCTTCCGAGTATGCACGTAAATTTTTTTCCAGATCTGAAAATCCCAAGTGGGTCTTTTTCCTGATTTTCATAAAAAATTACCTCTCCCGGCAACATTGACAGAATGTCTGCGCATGCTCAGAATAAATTAATTACTGTGAAATACTTTATTTTCACTTGCAACATTTTTTTGCTATTTTCGCTGAAGGAATGTTTCAGTTAAAGTAAAATCCAGCGAATATATCATTTTTCCTATATTTTACAGTCAACTTGTCAAAAATCATTGAAAATAAATTCAATACAAAACACCCAGAATGATAATTCCAGCTGAAATAAAATATATTACAGTAGATTAGATCTGTGAGTAACGCTGCTGTTATTACGGCACATGATTTCTCGGTTGCGTGCAATTAATTATAGTACTGTTTATACATGTATTCTGTTCGGCTCAGTGGTCTCATTCACTAGTTACTAGAAGAACTAGTAACCTTATTTGATACCGAGAACTTCAAGAAGGCGGCATAAGAGACGTGTTTGCAAAGGTAAGTTCTCCAGTTTCGATAAAATTTAATGTATATTGGGGTACGATTGGTGTACATTTCGTGACGTACGAACGTGAATATTATGATGATTGCCAGCTTTATATTCTTGTGAAAAGCCAAAAAAGCAAACAATTGTCTCCAATCTACGAAACTAGTTTGTAAATTGTATACCCTGTCAAATTATTGTACACGAACGATTAATTCACGAGGACAAACTCGCGAGTTTTCAAATAAATCGTTTTTCAGTCTTTTGCTTGTGTCACGATTTCCGAAATATCCACAACTCGAGGGGAAAAGAATGTCCCTGTGTCGATCAATTTATTCATTATATAATAGCAGGTTGCCTATGATTATATTCGTATTTTTAGCTCCGCTGTCGACTTTGTCGATCGGAGCTTATCATATGAGTGATTGTCAGTCGTCTGTCCTTGTCAATGTTTTACTTTTTCGACTTCTCCTTGAAAACTACTAGCCTGAATGCTTTGATACTTGGTGTATATGTACCTTGGGTAGACCTCTCTTAGGTTTGTTCATTTCATGATGATATCTTCAATTCTCTAATTTTGGTGAATATTTTTGTCATTTTTGGTAAAAAGGGATTATTTCGACTTCTTGTTGAAAACCGCAAGTCCAATTGCTTTGATATTACATATATAGGTACTACATGTAGACCTCTCTCAGATTTGTTCATTTTGTAATGATATCTTTAATTTTCTAATTTTGGTGAATATTTTTGTCATTTTTGGTAAAAAGTGATATTTTTGACTTCTTGTTAAAAACCTCAAGTCCAATTGCTTTGATATTACATATATAGGTACTACATGTGGACCTCTCTCAGATTTGTTCAATTTGTAATGATATCTTCAATTCTCTGATTTTGATGAATATTTTTGTAATTTTTAGTAAAAAGTGATATTTTCCACTTCTTGTTGAAAACGGCAAGTCTGATTGTTTTGATACTATACATATTGTTCATTTTCTAAATATCTTCTGTTCTGTAATTGAAATGTGCATTGCTAACAGTGAAGCTATCTCAGCCGAGAGGCTGCTTGTTTTAATATTTTGGACATTTCATTCACTCCTGGCGCCTAAAAGAGTCTAATTTATATTTTACCGTAGTCATTGACACCTATTCAAGAGTATGATGTTTATTGTGAATAGCGTGAATGGGTAAGCTTCGTTTCGACAATGAGCTGTTATTTCTGTGAACAATGTTAAATTATTCTTTAAATGCACAGTTTATTTTTTGAAAACAACTAATTTTTTGATTTAAAAAAAAAAAAATCATGCAGTTTTCCCCGTCAAAATCAAAGCAAAGCAAAGCAAAATCTTGCTACAACATCAGTGAATCTCTACTACCGTGTTGCGTTCACCCAAGGTCACTGAACCATCATTAACATATTTAAATGAGCCACGTGTAATGAAAAAACATGGCGGATATCGTCTCACATCGAGCATTTACATTCGACCGAAATCATTCATTTACGATGAAACTAAGTTGAATATTACTTCCAATTCATAAAAATTCATCAAATAAATTTTTTGTGCGTTATTATAATCATTACTGAATAATAATCAACAATTGCTATACTTCGAAAACAAGAAACACAGAGTGACCAGATTGTGCTACCGTGATCATTTGCTACCGGTACTAACCACTAAGCAATGTGAATTTTGTTGGGGGATTCAATTCCAACATTTCGCAATGCCTATTTTAGAACCAAATTAAGGCCTTTCACTCTTCTCTGAGTGTGACGCCTAAACCAGAGATTTTATGGTGTATAAACTGGCACTAAATGAAAAGGCCGTTCAACCTTATTCAAATTTATAAGTACATGTTATTATGTATTTCATTATGAATACTGACTAAATTAAATGTGATCTTATTTTTAATTGTTTGAACAGAATGATTTATATCGGTAATGACGTTTTCATCCAATATTATTGTTTTTGTTTTATTGAGTGCTCGCTGAAGATTTCATCAATCTTGCATATTGTCTTGTTCTTTTACAATCCTGCATTTCAGTTACTAGAATTTATACTAAAACATGAGGCCCAGGGGCACCCAAGTACTTTGGAATTAAGCAGACATGCATGATTTTAACTGCTACTGTTCAAGATTCTGACTATTAATATGTTCAAAATTCAGCAAGTAATCTTCAGAT